ACACACACACACACACACACACACACACACACACACACACACACACAACACCTTTCTCATCATAGAAGCATGACGTCATGGAACAAGGCTATTGTGATTGAAATTTGAGCTTAAAAGCATTGTTTTCAAACACGCAGAAACACACATGATGCCGCAGCGCTGGCTGCCATTTCCTCAACTCTGGGCTCGTACATTCTATCGGTTTGTCTTTACTGCCTCTTCTGGACCACCTGCGGTCATATGATGCAGGTCACAAGTACAGAGGTAGAGGTTGAGAACATTCGCATGAGGTGCAGCATGTGCAGACAAACTAGATGGTGAAAGGATCTTAATTCCTCCTGGCTCGTCCAGTTAACTTGTTTGCTCTGAGCATTTTATTTAGATAATCAAGATAAAACGTAAGAAATTGAACTGACTGGACATCCCAGCAAAGGGAGCAGCAGCAGGAGAACGCACACTTCAGCAACAGGTTAGCGTCGCCTCACACACACAAGCGCTGATGTCCAGTTGAGACGCTTTCACTTGGATCCTGAGTGCGTGTCAAACGGCTGCAGAGCACCGCTTCTAAAGATAGACCTTCTTTATATAAAGACGCTGCATGTGTGAAGAACACAAAGACTTTAATGTCCTGCTGAGGAAGCCGCTTGTTTCTGCTTTTCATCCTCCCCATCACTTCCCCTCCAGAACACTCAGCATCAGCCACCTTCGACCACTAAGCCGCACAAAACACGCAAGCGTGACACTCAGGCGCACACACACACACACACTCACTCACTCACACAGCCAGGTTGATGCAACAGCTTCAGTGTCATCCAACCAAAGCTCTGCTGCCGTTTATAGAAATGCAGCGATTGTAGGTAGTTACTCATCAACAAAGCAGACATCAAGCTCGTCTTTTACTTCAATGACTGACTGATGGAATTATTCTCATGAAGGGGTATTGATGCAACCTTAGAGATGTTATTTGCTCCTTAGTTTTACTTCTTGTAAGGATGCAAAAAGGCTCAAATAAGAATGACTTTAACAGCCTGTAA